GATGGTATGATTAATCATTATATTATACCACATAGTCTCACTGATGTTGCAGGGTTGAATGATGGACAAAGCTGGGTGGAATGGTAAGAGGCGATTTATTCCATTACTGCATCCAGACCGCTTGCTCCCCTCCGCCTCGCGACCAATGAAGTGAGCCCTGAGTGATGCATACAACATATTATATCCCTACCCTTCTCTTGGTACCCGCCCTGTCCCTTTTTTTCTGAATCATCCTTTCATTTCCTAATATGGTGAGGATTACCCCTTCCTAGACCTTACCTCTTTGCTTCCTACTATGGAGAGGCTACCTTTCCCCGGACCCTACCTATTGATTCCTTATATGGTGCATTTTGAAGCCTTATTTTACTGGCAGCGGATTGGGTAACTGGATGGCCTAACTTATAGTAAGACACAAATTAGGAACTTTGTGGCTTAATTTACGAGAGGACGCTACTTCTAAGGAACTCCTTGTATTGCCCTTTTTCCTGTGACACAGGGCCCCCCCATGTAGCTGAGGGTCATCTTGTTTCCACACTGGATTTCTGCAGAGAGTTATGAAGGTAGGCTGTTATGCCTGGATCCTTCCTTCAGCTCCCTGTAGTCCAGATCCAGCGCTGAGATCTCCTTTATTTTCACACCCACAACTGGATTACACTGTGGGGCTATGGAAGCATAGGACAGATCAGTATTTCGAGGAACCAAGCGCTAGACATGAGTGACAGAAGCTGTATCTCAAGAACCTCAGGGTTGAGGCTGCAAGACATTAGTTTAGCTCCTTTAGGCCTTGGAGACAAGAAACGATGACATACATGATTGAAAAGTAACCCAATACCCTACGATATAGGAAAAGTGGAGCTAAGTGATAATATTGCCGAAAATTACCATGAAGGTCAATATTAGATCATAAGATAATCATGAAAGTGCATCAGTCTCAGAGATATGTCTTTCCTCTAGGACACAGGCAGCGCATCACTACTCATGAGAATAAAGGCAACTTAACCAGCCAAGAGAACATTCACGTTTTGTGAGTTTCCAGGGAGCACAGACCAGTAAAAGTGGCAGATACTGGTGTCTGAGACCTCAAGCATCATTGGGCTTGGGGTGCAACTGTTCAATTCAACATCTGCCTGCCTACACGAAAGGCCAGACTCTATCACCAAGAAGCAGAACACAAAGTACATCTGGGTGAGGCAGGCACTCAAATTGATCTCCTGGAACTAAACCAGAAGATACTCAGCATTTTGGACACAATGGACACAATCACATCGGTGATGGCCAGCATGCAGAGGAAATAGTACATGGGTTCATGGAGGCTCGACTCCATCTTCATGATGAATAGGATGACGAAGTTCCCCAAGAGGGCGATGACGTACATGGCACAGAAGAGGATGGAGATCCAGCGGGATGAAGGTGGAGGGGTTGGTGAAGTTGGTTGTATTCAAGTCTGACATGGAGAACGTGTCTCGTGCTCAGGCAGAATGGTGTCTCCTTCATGTAGCATATGTTCCCTCTGACTTTCTGTGCATGCCCAGGCTCTAGGGTAAGTATTGCAGTAGAAATGCCTGGATGGAGAGACAATGTTAATGTCAGACAGGACATCCACCAGTGGAGACTGTTCTCAGGGGTGAAGCAGATGGGTCACTCTTCACACACTCTGAAGTGACGTTGTCAGAAGTGAGGTAAATGAATTTGAACAACTGACCTTATTAATGACAATTCTGTATTTTATGGCAGGTGCTAATGATATCTACATTTCAAGGTGTGGGGAAGCTTAATGGGCAGTAGCAGGAAACACGAGTGTCGACACTGGTTCTCCCGCTTTGATGTTTAACACAATGAATCCCCGACTGGAGAGTCCACGCTGTAGGGAGTTCCCCATTCCCCTGGGTGGTCAAAATCTGAGAGTGGAAAAAACCCCACAAATCGTGGCCACGACACGTGCTGGTAGCAATGCCCCAGCTAGAGCAGACCTCACAGAAACGCCCCGGCTGTCATGGACCACAGCTCATTCTCCTGCTCATGCGCAGTAGGGGCCAAACAAAGACCCTGTTCAGACACCCAGTGGAAGCTACACAGCCAAGGTCCCCCACTGAAGAAACAACTTCAGACAAAAGCCTCGTAACATGGTGTGACGTAGTGGGGGCCATATTCACTGTTTGCTTTGTTGTGCTGTGTGTGATTCACACTGTCCTGTGCTGCTCTGTAGTGACTCTGTGTGTGTGCTGTGCCAAGCGGGGGCGGGGATCTTTGGGGGAAAACTGAGGGTAGGCACATAGGGAATAGCCCCGGCAAGCCTGTCAGCTGATCCTAGGGGGAAAATACAACCAGTGATTGTCAGATCACACCTGGGGCCAGGGAAGCAGGATGAAAGAGGAGATGGGGCTTCCTAGAGGGCTGAGACCACTTGCTGTTTGTTATATTTTTGGCTGGCTTAGGGAGGGGAAGGTAGGTGGCTTAGGGGGATGGGCAGGAGTCCAGGGCCCTGGTTCTGGGGCTCCCTATCCCCATTGTACTGGCTGCTCCAGGTTACTGTAACAACGGGTATGTCTACACCAGCCCCCTAGTTCGATCTAGGGAGGCTAATGAGGGCGACCGAAATTGCAAATGAAGCGCAGGATTTAAATATCCCGCGCTTCATTAGCATGTTCCCGGCTGGTCGCCATTTTAGAAATTGACTAGCCCAAAGTAACTGCCCGTGTCTACACGTGGCAGTGAAACAGGATTCCGATTTAAAGCCCGAACTCGAATTGGCTGTTATTCCTCCTGCAATGAGGTTTACCAGCTAATTCGATCATGTTTGCTTTTTTTGCAACAGCATCAGACTGCTGACTCACATTCAGCTTGTGGTCCACTATAACTCCTAGATCCCTTTCTGCCGTACTCCTTCCTAGACAGTCACTTCCCATTCTGTGTGTGTGAAACTGACTGTTCCTTCCTAAGAATGATGTGCACATCATTCATTGTGCACAACTTGATTTTGTAGCTTTTATTTCATTTCATCATAGCACTGGAAGGGAGCTCGAGATGTCACCAAGTCCCATCCCCTGTCGTCATGGCAGGGCCAAGCACTGTCTAGATGCCATGTTACACCCAGATGGGTCCAGCAGTTGTGGCTACAGTTTCAAGCTTAGCAGAGTGAGGGACACCTCTGCTACTTGCTCCAAATGTACAGTCTCTAGAAACACGGGCAGAGCAAGGCCAGCAACAGCACGTTGTTCTCTCAGGACGCGGTTGACAGTATTTCAGGTTTTATTAAAGTTACAATTGCAGTTATGATGGGCTAAGCATGTAGAAATTCCATACACACCCTGCGCCAGTTACAAACAGAGCTACATGACAGTGATAGGGTCTGATGGGTCTCCCCTGGCTTCATCATCAGGTGAGGGAGGGCTTCGGCTGGAGCGCTAAGAAGGAGCTGGATTTTCCCAATCTGGACACCTCAGACTGTGATTCTGTCTACACCTACATTGTATCCAAGTGCATAACAGTGTGGGCTGGGTAAGTTCTCTTTATCCTCGATAGCTTTGGTGCACAGCCTGCAGCCTGGGATTAACGTTGCTACGTGGGCTTCCCACATATCCAGTTTTGAACTAGAAAGGTATGCTGGATATGGCTGGATAGGGCATCAGGTCATTAACCCCTCACAATGACCTGCCGGGGCCACCATCTGCTTGCAGGCAGGATCCTAGTTTGGCTGCAGTAGATCCCATGCGTGTCCCAGAAGAGAGGGAGCCCAACTCGGGCAGGGGTAGTGGTGGAGAAGACATAACGAGTGATGGGGAGAGGAGAGGAAAGAAGCTAGGGACAAGTTGTGACATGGATAGTTCACCTCTCCAATCCTGACCTATTTCCTTTGAAGGTGAATGCTACAGCCTGCAATCCCGACTGAAGATTTGCAGAAAAGTCCATTTAGTGTAGTTGGCACCTTCCGTGCTCCATTGGCCATTGAATGTTTCTTGATGAACCAATTAACCTGAGTGGCCTTTCCCAGACACATTGACTAGGTACCGTACTCTCTGGGGGTTACTGCAGGAGCTAACGTTTGAGACACCAACACACAGCGAATGTTCCTATTTTCACATGCAAGGCTGAGCCATGCACTCAATTGCAGAATCAGAACCAGCCAAGCACAACTTTCCCAGCAACATCTCCCTTGACAGCACTGCCCTGGTACAAGGCCTATAGAAAATGTAGAACAGTAGTTGCAGCAAGAATCTATGAGGCCACATCACAAGCCAACAGAAGGGCAGGCGAATGATGGACGGATTGGACAAGGAGTCTAGGTCTCATTGGACTGTGTGATCCCTTCTGGGAAATGGGAGGGAAGGCAATGGGACCTTGCAGTTCAGTTGCTGTCAGTTGGAAAGGTGGCAGGTTTCTCAGTTAAAGAGTTGCACACACAGGGTATGTCTACACTACGGAGTTTTGTTGGAAAAAATGGCTGTTTTTCCGACAAAACTTGAGGAACGTCCACACTGCAGTTGTGTTCTTCTGCAAGAAAATGAAAAAAACAGAGGGGTTTTACCAGCATTGGTAATCCTCATTCTACAAGGAAGAAGCCTTTTTGAGAAAGAACTCCTTCGCAAAAAGTCGTGTGTGGATGGGAAACAGAAGTTCTTTCAGAAGACGAGGAAAGAGGAAAAAGCATTGGTGCCCTGGTGGCCATTCCATTCATAGCAATCACAGGGTCAGGGCCTTCTGGGAAAAGGCAGGGAAGGCAGTGGGACCTTGCAGTCCGGCTGCCAGCAGTTGGAAAGGTGGCAGGTTTCTCAGTTAAAGGGTTGTACTCAGACTGATTCCCCAGTTGTTCATGCTGATACAGCACGGTAGGGTCAGAAATGGAGGGAGCCCGGCACCATAGCTCCAGCTATCTCTGCCAAGAGCTCCATCAGATGCCCATTTTTGATGGTCTGAGCCAACACTTCCTCTCTCTGTTCATTTGAATTTGGAGGCTCCATTTCTTTCATGCCCACCCTTCCCCAGAACTCCAAGATAAAACTTTAGGTGCCTTTATGAGTGAAGAGCCGGAAGAGCCTTTTCTGGATCTGTTTGGTCCCCACCCCGTAGATGATGGAATTTAGCATGGAGGGCATCAAGAAGCATGTGTTAGTAACGAGAATGTGGACATGTAGAGGCATGTTCTGTGCAAAACGGAGCACGAGAGAGGAAAAGAGACCTGGCATGTAAAAGGTCAAGATAGAACAGAGGTGGGAGCTGCAAGTCCCAAAAACCTTGAGCCGGGCCTCTTTTGTAGGGAGTCTGAAGATGGCCCTAAGGATCTGGGTATATGAAATAGTGATAAAAATCACATCCAGACCATAAATACAGAACACCATAAAGAGGCCGTAGTAACTACTGACACGGGTGTCACTACAGGCCAGGCTCACCACAGTGATGTGCGCACAGAATGACTCAGGGACGATGTTGGTTCTGCAATATGGGTATCGGCTCGCCAAGCAAGGAAAGGGCAGTGTGAGAACGCTAGAACGCAGTACCACGGCTAAGGCGATCGTGACCACAATGGGGTTTGTGAGGATGGTGGAATGTCTCAGGGGGTGGCAGATGGCCACGTAGCGATCCAGCGCCATGGCCACAAAGATCCCCGACTCTATCACTGAGAAGCAGAGCACCATGTACATCTGGGTGAGGCAGGCATTGAAATCGATCTCCGTGGAATTGAACCAGAAGATGCTCAGCATTTTGGGCTGGATGGAGGTGGACAGCAACAGGTCATTGATGGCCAGCATGCAGAGGAAATAGTACATGGGCTCATGGAGGCTTGGCTCTTTCTTTACAACAAACAGGATGGTGAAGTTTCCCAAGAGGGCTATGACGTACATGGCACAGAAGTGGATGGAGATCAAGCCATGGGCTGCCTCCAGGCCAGGTATGCCCTGAAGGATAAAGGTGGAGGGGTTGGTGAAGTCGGTTGTATTAGAATCTAACATGCAATCGAGGAAAAGCTGTACAACTCTGAGGCAGAATGGTATCTCCTGCATGCAGGGTATGTTCCTCTTACTTCCAGTGTGTGCCCAGGGTCTAGGGTGAGGATCACAGTAGAAATGCCTGCATGTAGGTGCAGTGTTGGTATCAGACAGAACATCCGCCACCAACGTCTGTTCCCAGGGGTGAAGCAAACTGGAGACTCTTCACATTCTCTGTAATGACATTGTCAAAAACGAGGTAAATGAATTTGAACCACTGACCCTATCAGTGCCAATTCCGTATTTCATGGCAGGTGCCAATAATTCCTACATCTCGAGTTGTGGGAAAGCTTAATGGGCACTAGCAGGAAACACGAACGTCAACTCTGGTTCTCCCACTTTGATGTTTTATACAATGAACCCCCGGCTGGAGAGTCCCTTCTGTAGGGAGTTCCCCAATCTCCTGGGTGCTCAAAATCTGAGAGTGGGGGAAAACAACCCTAAATCTTTGCCACTACACATTCTGGCAGCAACATCCCAGCTAGAGCAGACCTCTCAGAAAAGCCCTGGCTGTCATGGATAGCAGCTCATTCTCCTACTCCTGCCCAGCAGTGGTCAAAAGAAAGACCATGTTCAGATACCCAATGGAAGCTAAACAGCCAAGGTCCCCCATTGAAGAAAGGGAACAACTTTAGACCAAAGCCTTGTAACGTGGCAATGGGAAGGCAGCATTTAAGAGGATAAACAACATGAAACAGACTTTGAAAAGGGAACGTGGACATCCAGCCAGGATATGCCCTTCAGTGTCTTGATGACCAACTTTAAACAATCTCTTTTGTCCTTTAAGTCTGGGGAAGTCACAGATTAATATGTGTCCACCCCAACTGGCCAGGTAACTTCCCATGCAAAAGTTGCTCCTCTGTGACCTCATCTCATCCCATTGGTGCAGCGAGCAGGGTCAATGCACACGGCTGGTTGCTCTGGGGGCTAGTAGTGATTTTAAGGGGGTTCTGAGTGTGGTTTTTGAAAGGAAGACAGAGGGGTTGCTGGTTTGTTATTTTATGTTTGCTTATTGTAGGGAAGGGAAACAGAGTCAGGAAAATGAGAGTGAGGTTCAGAAGAAACTGGAGCTGCACAGAATCCAATGAGAAGAGAAGGAGGAAGAACACAAGAGACAAATGGAGATGAAACGACTCGAGAGAGAAGCCCAAGGTGCCTGGGATCAATCCGTTCATGAGAGAGTTCATCAAAGAAGGTTGGAGTTAAACGAACTTGAAACAGAGAACAGGGAAATAGAGAGGCAGCACGAACTGGCCGTACTTGGAGAATAAACACCCCAATAAAGCAAGACCCTTCTCTCCAAAGATCCAAGGTCGGGACTGACTCCATCCTCCTTTTGATGAATCCAGGGATATCACTGAATATTTCCTCACCTTTGAGAGACTCGGCCCCATCCACCATCCACTCAATCCCTGAGGAACACAGAACTCCCATGCTGGTTGTAAAGTTGAAAGGGAAAGCCCTGGACATATTCAGTTAGATGTCTATTGCTGATGCTTCCGACGATGGGAAATTCAAATATTTGGTTTTAAGACAATTTCAGATCACACCTGAAACTTACAGGGTGAAATTTAGAACCCTTAAAAGGGGGGTTGGTCTAAGCAATGTGGCTTATGCAAACCAAATGAGGGATCTGTTAGACAAGTGGGAGAAAGACCCCAAGCTTTGAAGGCATGTGTGATCTGATCGTTAGGAGCAGATCCGGGATGTTAATACAATATGGAGCTATACCTATCTCTTAGAGCTAGAAGGGACCTTGAGAGGTCATCAAGTCCAGTCCCCTACCGTCACGGCAGGACCAAGCACCATCCCTGACAGATTTACCACAGATGGCCCCCTCGAGGATTGAACTCACAACCCCAGGCTTAGCAAGGCAGTGCTCATGAAGCAATGTCTGTGGGATGAGGCTGGGAAGGATGCCAAGGCTCTTGGTCTCTTTGCTGATCAGTTTGAGCAATCTCAGCCCTCTGGAAGGGGGAAATTGCCCCCCTTCACACTAAACCTCTCCGATTGCTGAGCCCCCGACTTTCCCCTGGGAAGAGGGAGGTTGGGGGGGGAGGCTGGCATGCTTCCCAAGTGCACTCCCCCGCCACTATCCCAGGTCGGCTCTGCAGACAAAGGCGCCTAAGAGGTGTAATCACTCCCTATATCCCGAAGGAACACATGCACATTGTTGGGGGGAAAGAGGCAAGGGGGCGGCTCTCCACACGGGGTTTGTGAAGCTGGCTGTTTCCAAGCCGGGCTGTGAGCACCTGGAGCCTGTCAGGCTGACTGGGCAGGACATCCCTGCCTGGAGGGACACGGGTGCAGGAATTTCCACAGTCCGGAGGGATTTGCTTAAGGGGCGAGATTTCCTCCTTGGCAACTCAGCTGAGTTAGATTTGGTTGGGGCCATAAGATCCTTGCCCCTTTGGCCAGGGTACGGGGACAGACGGGGGGCCAACAGGCTGAGTTAACGGTTGCTGCTGGATCTGAGAAGTCGGTGCCATTCGTATTGGGGAACGGCTTTTTGGTGTGGCTGAGTCCATCCCCGGGACGGGCAGGAGCAGGTCGGGGCCTTGTGCTGAGATCCCAAAGGGGGAAGGAAATGCCGCAGGGGCTGGAGAGGGGTCAAGAGAGAGTCTCTGATGCTCCTCCAGCTGCGCTGGACAGTTTGCAGGCGGGGAGGAGCGGAGGAAGCCGGCCCTGTCCCTGAGCTATTGTCCCGTGTCAGTGGGTCTGTCCAGGCTGGGGTATGTCCGGGAGGGGAATGGGCACAGCAGGGGCAGGCCCTGCCCCGGAAGGCACAGGGGTGTGATCCTTGGAGCAGAGCCACCAGGCAGAAGCTGGAGACCAAGAAGCGACTGTGGGAGCCGAGGGACCCGGGGCCTGGCGGCTGAGGCGGGTTTATCCAGGGAGAAAAGAGGTTTCCCCAGAGAGGGGCTGTCAGGGCTGGGAGCTGGGTGGCTGCAGCTGGACCGGGGGCATATGGCCGGGGGAGGGGGGAATGAGATGGTTCTTCCATCTTTGATGGGGCTGGGGGGCGGGGGCGGGAGCCAGATGCTGGCCATGTATCAGTAAAGATGCCCGCCTGTCAGTCACGCTTCAAGGGGGCGGGGGTGAATCTGGACTCCTAGCGGGGGGGTGGCTCTGCCATTAGCCTCCTGGAAGCAGAACCTGGAGGGTCAGTGAAAACCCGGCTCGGGCAGGCTGTAGATGCAGGGGAGCCGGCTGACGGGCTGCCGGAGGGGGGAGGTGAGGGACACTTCAGCCGGGGGAGGGGATCTGGTGCCTTTGGGAGCCCATCCCGTCCCACAGCCTCGAAGGAGTGTTGGGTAGGGCTGACCTCCCCGAGGAGAGAGACAGCTGCGGTTCATTTGCAAGTTTGAATGCCTACATTAGCCACCCTACTTCAGACTAGACATTACTAGCTGGGGACTGTGTAGTGTAGACATACCCTAAAGCACTTTGCAGAGAGCAATTTAATTTCTGTGACTCTCTGAATGGAGGATGCCACCATAAGAGGACAGACTGAAAAATCTGCTTGATTGAGAGAAGAGACAAGGAAGGGGGTATAGCGTGGAGAAAAGCCGAATACGCATGGAATTGATTTTATTCCAAGAGAGAGAACAGTCCCCAGCTAGTAATGTCTATAGATACTTACTCCTTTAAAACAGAGATGCAAATTATCAGCAAAACTGCTTGGGAGGAAAATTATACTCACTAAAATGGGAGTGAAAACTGGGAGTCTTTTTATTAGATAGTTAAAAACATAATATTCCACACTGAAGAGAGGGGACAACTTTGAGAAAACTCTGGTTAAGTTGCAAAGTGAATGCAGCAATTTAGAGGGGAAAACCAATATGAGAGAAACGGGGGGAAAGGGAAAATAGACGCCAATTAGAAAAAAATAATACTAATTAGAAGTTATGAAAATTGATCATTGACATTAAAGACATCAGGGAAACGTCCAGGCTTGTCAGCACTAAGGATGAAAAATTAGATCGTATCAAGCGTCAGAGGGGCAAACCTGTTAGTCTGTACATTTAAAAGCAATGAGTAGTCCTGCGGTACCTTAGTCTAGACAAGTTTTTGTCGGAAAAAGCTACGCAAAATGCGCTCCACGTTTTTCTTAGCTTTGCTGATTCTTTTGTTGGAAAAGGCTTTTCCAACATTTGGCCCATCTAAACTGGGCCAAATGTCGGAAAAACTCCTCTTTCAGAAGCCCCCTTATTCCTCGTGGAATGAGGCATGCAGGGGCTTCCAAAAGAGCACGTTTTCTCTCCTCGGAAGAGCAAACATGTTCCCTGGACGTGGAACAGTTTTTCCAGTGTTCTGGATAAACTGGGTAGTCTAGCCGTATCCCTAGAGACTAACAAAAAAAAGTGAATGTTCATCAGATGAGTTGTACTGGAAATTACAAAAGAATTACCTAGCCTTGAGTAAAGTAATTTTCATATCTAAAGCCCCCTTATTTAGCCTTAACTTGATATGACTTCTACAATGGCCAAGTACGTCTTTTGCTGTTAGATATTATGAAGTGTATCAAGGAAAGATTCAGGATGAGTTACAGATATCATCTACGATGTTGACATACTTTCTAATCCATTAGCACTCAAGGATATTAAATAGCATCCACAGTAGAACCTGAAATATATGAACTCCACAGCTACAACCATCTGATCAACCACAGGTCACATTCAGAAGCAGATGTATGCAGTGAGTCAGAAGCAAAGCCAAACCAACGAACCAAGGAAGCAAAACAAAGGCAGGAGCATGTTCAACATCAGTACAAAGTATGAAAATGTATCGGAAAGTTTATTAAAAAAAAGAGTTGATGGTACCTGTGAGTGCAGAGAGGGACGTGTCTTCCCTGGAACCCCCCTCAGGCAGCGACATCCCGCACCTCTCTCAGCCCAGCGTCTGCAGCAGCATCCCACGCCGAGAGTCGGCACAGGGCTGGGCACCATCTATAATA